AAAAAATAATACTTTATTTAATAATCAAATTATTTAAATATATTATTTTTAATTTTATTTTAATAAATTTGTATATTTATTTATAATATATGTTAAAGAATAATATAATAACGAAAGAGATATGAAATATAATTTTAATTATGTATTACATATTATATTTTAAAATATTTATACGAATGACAATAATAACAATACCAAAGAATACATATATATACCTATCCCAATTATAATCCCAACTAGAAGCTGCTATTCCAAATTTATGTGTGTGTAAAAATTGATTATTATTATCATTATCATTTGGATAAAAAAACATAGCACCACCTAATGCACCAAATCCTACAATCCATTTTTTAAAATTTGAACGTATAGACATTGGTACAATAAAATATCACAATTAAATCTTCTAAGTGATTTGAATCAATTTTATCTGAAACATAACCTACATCTTTAAATATCATAGATACGTGATATTGAATTTGGCAACACTGTTTTAGTAATAGAATGAGTAATACTACTTAAAATAAGCTATTAAAATAAATAGGCAAAACATAATTAATATTTAAAAAAAAAAATTGATTTAAATATACTATATTTAATATATTTTTAATAATCATATATAAATAACATATAACTAAAAAATAAAAAATAGAAAATGATTAAGCTTTTAAAAATATTCATTATTTAGAAACATATAACATATAATTAATATAACAAATTTTACTTTTATATCATATTAATAATAAAAAATTTATTTTAATTTACGTACAATATATTTCAGATTTTATATCTAATAATTTTAATTACTTATTATTAAAAATTTATTTATGTTTTAATATATGATTAATATATAATTTTAAGATAAAATTTCATTATTTTATTAAATATTATTTTCAGTTTTGTGCCTATAACATTTATAATTTTTATTGACAGGAATCCATTAAAAGATTACCATCTTTATCTTTAAGACGTATTCTACCATTTGAATAACGAGTTTCCTGTGTACCATCAAGATAAATTAGTTTAACAGTGCCATCAGGATATTCTCGTCTCTAAAAATCACATAAAAAAATATTTATATAGATATAAATCTTTTAATAAATTAAATTTTTTAAAAAAATTAAAAAATTCTTATTTTTAAGAAAATAAATATCTATCTTTTTACCTTATGAGTATTAGTATGTATTTCACGTTGTCCATTTGGTAGAATGAGAATTTTTTCACCATTAGTAAGAATTTGAATTAATGTTCCATCTGGCAATGTCCATTTTTCAATACCATCTGACTCTAGGATTCGCACTGAACCATCTGGAAATGAGACTTCTACTGTACCATTTTGCGATCGTCTTTCTATTTGACCACTATATAATAGCAAAAAATAATATTTATAAATATAAAACTATATAAACTTTATATACTGAAATTTATAATTAAATAATAAAATTAAAAAATAACTCACTCAGAGAATTCTAAAATTTCTAAACCATCTGGCATTGTTGTGTGCCATGTACATGTTGATGCATAAAAATATTTTATTTTTCCATCTTTATTAGTTTCACGCATATCTCCATTATAATATATCAATTTAGTTACACCTTGATCAGGAAATATTTTTTTAATATTTCCATTTGGAAATCGATATTCAATAGAACCATCAAAATGTTCAATTTGTGTCACATCTTGTTTAGCATCTTGTTTAGCATCTTGTTTAATTTTGTTTGAAGATGTAGTTGTTATATATGTATTAGATTTATCTAATGATGCCAAACTTTTTTCATAATTTTCATTATATGTTTTCATAGATGTGTGATCATTAAAAGATGTGTGATCATTCTGCATATGTAATTGAATATTGATTTGATTATCTTCATTGATTTCTATTTGATTATTATGGTTAAAGAATATATCACATTCTTTATATGATTTTTTACTTTTTTTATTATCTAATTTCTTAAATTTATTGCTTAACTCTGATTCAGATTTATTTAAATTTTCAGGAATATTAAATTGCTCTTGAATTTCTATTAAATCTGATGTTGCTTCTTTGATTAAATTTTCATATAAATTTCGTTTTTTAGCAACATCTGTTATAATTGTTTGACTTTCTGATTTATTAATTATATTTTTATTATGATTACAATTATATCCTTTTCCTTTTTCTATATTCTGGTCATTAGTTATTGTATTTATCACTAGTTTTTGATCAGATTGTGATAAAGCATCATTAATTTTTTGAGATTCTTTAAACTGCATATCAAGCTGTTTATTAATTTGATGAATTACTCTTGTATTTGCAGATGTTCCAAATTTTCCTTTATTTCTATCATTTTTTTTTAAATTTTGTAATCTTTCTATTTCTTGTTTTAATTTTGAATTTTCTCTTTTTAATATTCTCATTTGGCATTTATATCTAGATTCTGCTGCATTCCATCTACTTTCTTTTATTTGTATGTCTTCTGTTAATTTTATTATTTCTTGTTTTAAATTTTGAATTTCCTGTCTTTCTAATTTACTTTGTTGAGCTTTTTCTTGCGAATCTCGCATTCTATTTTCTAATGCTGCTTTCTGACGTGCTAATTTTTTCTTTTCTTCTTGTAAGCGTTCTTCCACTTGTTTTTTATTTTGTTCAAAATTTTTTTCTTTTTCTGCATATTCTTTGCGTAAATTCTTATAATCTTCGTGTAATTTTTTACGTTGCATAGATAACGCTGTATTTTCTTTACGAAATATATTAATTTCTTGTTCAAGTTCTAATAAACGATTTTTTAAAAGTTCTGATTTAAAAATAGTTCCGTTTGTTTCTTGTAAGTCTTTTACATTTTCTTGATATTCTGTGACTTTTCCATTATCACAATTATTTACATATTCATCTATTTCTTTATTGTCATATCTTTTCATATATTGTTTTAATGTTCTAATATTATAGTTATCAGTTCTTTGTGATATTGAATTATTTTGACTGTTCTTATATGAATTATTTACTTCATCATTAGAAATCTGATCTTCTGTGTCGGATATTTCTAATTCATCTTTATGATAATATTGATGTATATTTGTTTCACAAATAGAATTATTATCTTGTTTTATATCTTCACAATTTTGAGCTTTATAATTTAATTCTTGCATTTTACTTTTCATTGTTATAGAAGGTTGTGACATATTAAATGTTATTGGTATTGTTTCTGAGGTAGATTCAGTTTCTAAAACTGAAGAATCACTCCAAAGTTTATCATCAAAAAAACATTTTGTTGCTAATGATTCAGTTGATGTACTTGATGTATCTGTTAATCCAATTGTTTTATATTCGTTATGTTCAGAGAATCTAACATGAAGACTATCATTTATTTCATTATTTTTTTCAATAATAGGCACATTACATGAAAAATTCTGTTCATTATTTTGAATTTCATTTCTTAGTATATGTCCATCTTCATTTGTTTTCATTGTATTATTTTCATCGATATGTTGTATATTTTCATATATATTATCATGATTTTTGATAGTTTTTTGATTCTCAAAAGGCATAAAATCATCCTTATTTGATGTGATGCATTTAAATATTTGATTAGATGACTTTAAATCCAATTGTTTTTTAGGTACTTTATTTATTGGAATTATTTGTTTTGTTTTTTTCATATTATTTTCTGTTTTATATTCAGCATTTTTCACTTTAAATGGAGTTGATTGTTGTAAAAATGCAGTAACTGTACTAGATGTAGAACAAAAACTAGAATTTTCTGCTTTTTCTTCCAACAATTCAAATATTCTTACTTCTTCCAATTCTTTGTGGGTTCCAGAATGAAAATCTGAACTATTTAATTCAATTGTATTTTTCATTTCATTAATATGATCTTTCAAATGAGAAGATGAAATATTAGATTCAGATTTACTATAAATTTTCTTCTTTGGCAATGGAATATTTTTTAGAGATAAATGTTTTTGGGCTAAATTTGTACAATGTATATTTTTTGATAATTGTGCATTTTTTGAATCTTGTGTAGTTTTATTAGATTTATTTTCATTTTTGGAATATTTAAAACCAGATTGTGTCTTATTATTAAAAGAAGCACTACGTGATCTAATCTTTAAAGTAGAAAGTTGTGATTTTTGATTTAATTTAAATCGAGTTAAACCTTCTCCTTTTCTTAAAAATGGTTTTTTTATTTTATTTCCTGAATTAGCATTGGATTTTATAAAAGGTTCAATTTCATTATTATCTTTCAATTTTTCTTCTAACAATGTATGAAAATCTTTTTTAGGAGAAAAAATTGGTATATCATCAATAGAAATATGATTAATGACTGTTTTATCAGGAGGTAATGGTGCTATTCCATCTATAAAAAATTGTTCTATTTGTTTTTCTTTTTCTGAAGAAGTTATTGAATTTATTTCATCTTTTGATTGTTTTTTTATATGATTTTCAATATTAATTATATCATCATTAAAATTCCTTGTAGGAGATTTTTGTTGTAGAATCATATTTTCAAAACTATTATTTTGACTTATACATGATATATTATCATTTATCATTTGTACGCAACTTTCTTTTATTTGTGATTTATTATGTAGTGTAATTAAATCTTTGCTATTAATCTCATTATTTTCAATTTCATTTGAATTATTTATATTTAATGTATCTTCATTAAGATCAAGTTCTTGTATTGATAATTCAAGTGCTTTGTACATACAATCTTGTTTTTGTGTTAACATATCTCTTTGTATCTGTTGCTGTTTTAATAATCGTTCTTGTTGTTCTAACTGCCACTGTCTTAATTTTTGTAAACGTTCAACTACAGATGCTTCTATATCCATTTTTTGAATAACATGGAATGTATAATAAATTTAAATAATAAATTTATGTAAAGATCAATTTATATAATTTGACAATTATAGATGTATTCAATGATTTACATATATTTAGAATTACATATAAACTCACATAAATAAAAAAATATATTATAAATTAAATTATTATATTCATTATTTTATAACATATTTAAAAATATGATATTTTTATTTTAATTATTTTTATTTATAATAAATATCTTAAAATATAATATTTACTTCAAAAATATTTTACTTTTTATTCAAAATTATAATTATGAAATGTCGAGAATTAGCAAAAAATATTATATACATGTGCGTATGTATTCTGTCATGAAAAAAATATAAATTAATCATTCAAAACTAAAATATTTATATTTTATTCATTTTCTCACCTTTATCTGTATAAAAAAGATCTATATATAAATGCTATAAAAAATATATTACGAATTAAATTTATTATATTCATTAATACGTTTTACTAAACACTCTTTTAAAATTGGTTGACAATTTAAAAATAATGTGCACATACGTGCATGTAAAAGAAAGTTGGTATATATTATATATGTACATATATGTATGTATATATATTTATATACGATTTGAATTTATATATAATAATAATAATAATAAAACAGTATCTATATTAACAATAAGATTGGATATTAAATATAAAAATATATACTTTACGAAAAAATATCAATAATTCTATTTTGTTAAATATTTATTCACAATTAATATATATTTATTTCATTTAAAATAAATGAAATATATATAAAAAAACTTGTGGATATCGATATTTATGTTAGCTTTTGTTAAATGATTAATATGATTAATTATTTTTAAAAATTAAATATATTTATGTATTTTTTTTTCAAAAAGAATTTGTCATTTCATTATTATCGAATTTATATTTAAATTGGCAAAAAAATAATTATGTGAATAAATTAATATGTGAAAGAATAATTTCTTTCTAAGAATAATTAATAAAATAAACAATATTTTAAAATTTGATTAAACTTTAATTTTTTTTGCTTTTGATCACGTGGTTTTATTTACATTGAATGAGTAGTGTGAATGTTTTAAATAATTTAAATTGATGCACGTTAGTGAGTCTATTCTTGAAGTGGATTGGATAAAAATTCAATATGGCATCACAATAATTATAGCAGCATAATTAACAAAAATTTTTAAAAATTTACAAATTTGTATATAAATAATTTTTAAATTGTTATTAAATACTGCTTGAAATTTATAAAAACATTTATAAATATTTATAAATATTTATAAATTTAAAATCCAGAATTTTATGTCCAAAAATAAAAAATAATATTTATTTTTAATTTTTCAATATTTTTATTATTATCAAATTTTATATTATAAATATCATG